TCAAACATATTTCTTGAACGATATTGGCATAAATGGTCATAGCGAGTCCATATTTTGAAATACATTGCTCGATATACTATAGTGTTCACCTGAAACTCTACTATTCAAACACTATATTAAAATTAAAGTTGAATCACCTTGGCTTTGGCAGTCCCGCTTTGCGTCATAAGAAATATTGTATACTGGTATTGGGGCTGTTAAAAGTCTAAATCCCCCCTTGTCTTTGAAAATGTCTTATCGAATCAAATGCTCGTATGAAATAGCATATTTTCATCGAATCAAATGCTCGTATGAAATAGCATATTTTCTATTGTCGATTGAGTGACTTTATTAAAACTTTGATATAAAATTCTATTAACAGTGGTAATCCGAGAGCTGCATGAAATGTGGCAGGAAATAGTATTGATATGTGAAAATTAAAAACTGTTGACAGCCTTATTAGATACAACGCATGTGATTGGCTAAAAACGGAAACCAGTTCTTGATATTTTAATTTGATTGGTCCATGCATGAAACCTTTTCAAGACTGAAACAAAACTGCGTAATTCTGTAATGCGATTGGTAGAGAAGTGAACTCATTTCATAACTTAAAGGTCAAGCTTGAAATGTCTGGTTCTTCATGGTTCTTGTCTGGTTTGTTTTGGTCCACTGTTCAAGTTAGCTCCAGACTTTCAACCAATTTCGACCTACTATGATAAGTAAGTTGAATGGTTTCAAGTAGAAGCAATTTCTCAACAATAAATTCCTTTGTAAGGTTGGAAGGTATTGCTGCCGACAGGGACAATGCTTTCATCAGAACATCATCACGAAAGACCACGTAAACATTCACATCATCTTCAGTGACAAGTGCTTTAGCATACCATTTCTTTTTGCACTTATCCAGCCTTTGTGTGAGCTTACATCTTGCATTCTCACATGTGGTGATCTTCTTCTCTTCCACATGGCTGTTGCACTTGAAGCAACAGTAATCAAGACGCACTTCAGTAACACCAGCAATCTCGGCTTTGTTGAGTGTGCATGTCATTAGTTGGCTTGGATCATAGTCAGGTATAAAAAGATCACATTTAAAATCTTCACATGGCAAAATACTTCCAATTCCTTTTGCACGATTTACGTAGAGATTTCCATTCAGTTTGTCTTTCTTTACTCTAAGATTTTTAAACTCGTACGTCTTGCCAGCCACAACCTTTTTTACATCATCTTCCCAGAAAGTGATCTTAGCTGAACCTTGTACATCCACCAACAACCCTTCAGCCATTTTTAGGACTCCTTGTGGGGTGTTTATGACTTGTTCTTTCTGCAGGTGCAACAGTTTGGCTTTCAAGCTGACAAGCTGCTGAGGAGAAATGGTTTGTAGCATAGATAAGTTGAAGTCAGCAGCAATCAAATCCTTCTTTGGAAAAGAAACGTCCTGTGTCTCCAACTTTTTGACGACAATGTAGTCACCCATCAAGATATCACTGGAATCTTCCTTGTTGTCACGTGTAAACTTGCAGATTTTAACAGGGGTTGAATCGTTTTCGCATTCAACAAACAGCTTTCGTTTGGGAGGAGAAAAGCATATTGCTCTCACCGACTTGTCACTTTCAGTTTGCAATTGAAAGTCAAAGAAGTTCTTCTTTGGTCCTGATCGAATTGGTGAAACATTTTGAACAAAACCAGTGATACTTTCATTTGCCATGTCAAAGGACTGCAAAAGAATATATATCAATAAATATCAGGTAAAAGTAGGAAGGATTATCAAAAGATGGTTTTAATGTGTTTATCCCAGGACAATACTAGATACTAGAAGACTAGATTGATGACTTTCAATATCCTAACTTATCAGTACAACTCTAGCTTCCTACTTTGCAAAAACTTTGTATTTCAACAAAATGTCCTCACCCCTAGGATAACATTGATGTCCAAATTCCCAAGGACTGGGACGAGTGTTCAAGGCAGATCACAACCGCTTGATCTACCTTACTGTTGCATATCACCTGGTTTCATTAAAGTGGTTTCCTCAATGACAATGTATAAACACTCTCAGCTATGTAAATTGTTAATTTAATATACAGTTCAATGCTCTGGCAAGGGGTTGTGTAGTGATATTATTACACCAAGTGTCAAGTTATGAAATCATAAACCTGCAATCATAAACAATAACCCCTTGGGCCCTGCTAAATCTGGCATACCAAATAGCTGGTATGGCCTGGTAATAATAAGCAATTACCATCTAGAAGGTTCCCAAAGTGACACTATAAAAATTATGCTATTGTTGTATTAAAAAGCACAGAATTTGATGTGCCTGGTAACTAAAAATTTAATTCAATTGTGTTTATACACTCTTGTGTTCAGCATAGTGCTCAGCTAGGCATTCAAATTATAACTAGAAATTACTATCACAAGTGAAGGGTGTATAATATAACAATAGGATAATTTCTATGGTCACTTTTTTGGGACACCGTGTACATTATATGCTTTTAAATATATGCTCAAACGAAATATAAATAATTCATTTTATTATAAGGCCATGGGGATTTGCGTCCCCGCCCACCCACATCCCTCAAAAGCTACAACCTAAAATTTCACAACTTATTTTCACAAATAATGCTCTGTCACATAAACTCAAATTCCATGCATTAAATTTGCAAAACGATTATTGTAGCGTAAGTATGACCACAACACTGCATAAAAGTTTTCCACCTTACGAATTGCCGATCTGCATCAATATAAATACCAAATGTGTTGCGCACAACACATATTTTTAAAGCATATTAATCGGGCTATAGAAACCACTGAAGGACCCGTGTCACTATGGCCGTCGATCTAATTTTTCTATAAAACAATGCCAATGGTAAATCAAAAAATTATGAATAATAAAAAAGGCTGCATGCTTTTTCAAAATTTGAAATTGTCCGGACGCAAATCTGTGACTTTGAATTCCCATCAGTCCCATGGTTTGTGCATGGATCAGGATGATGGAACAATCAATCCATAATCTTAATATCTATGTAACTCAAGTGTAAGTTTAAACACTGTCGCAAGTAATCACCACAAAAGTAAAAGAAAGAAGTTTTTTCATTGCTTATCCTTGTTTAAAAGTGTATTCTCCACCTTCCCTTGACGATAGCAGCGGCAGAAAGAACTTTCGTTGCACGAGTTTTCCAAATATGCCCAATTAATTAACCTTCCATATGTGGTTACCATATATGTAAATTACTTCCAAATATGGCCATAGGAAATTTGCCATGGAAATTTACCCGAAAACGTGTTCATATTAAACGACATAAACCATTGTGATTTCAACAAAGTTACAGTGCGCAGAAATTGATTTGTTAAAGTTTTGTTAAAATCTTTTACAGTAAAACTTTAAATTTATAGAACAAGAGATTGTTATCGATTTTTTGTAATTTATAATAGAAAATAGAAACGAATCTTTCACAATTTCGAAATGTGGAAGTACCACTCTTTTGGCACAAATTTTGGTGCCTCGTGATTATTGCACGTGATCTGTTTCTGTTTGGCTGCTTCACTGAGCTGTGTGTTATATATATATTCACATCATTCCGGCATCACCAGAAACTGGTAATTTATACAATACTAATATGCATTTATGCTTTTTTTAGGTTTTGTTGTCCAGTATTTTCATTTATTGTTTATTACTACTTCACCTATTGTGCCATTATTACACCAAAGCAAGGCATTGTGCCACTGCTAATATTACACTAAAGCAAGCGATTGTGCCACTGCAAGTATTACACTAAAGCAAGCCATTGTGCCACTGCAAATATTACACTAAAGCAAGCCATTGTGCCACTGCAAATATTACAGTAAAGCAAGCCATTGTGCCACTGCAAATATTACAGTAAAGCAAGCCATTGTGCCACTGCGAGTATTACACTAAAGCAAGCCATTGTGCCACTGCTATTATCAAAACAATCCTTTCTGAAACAATTAACAAAATTTGATATAATTCACCAGCAAAATAGATATAATATGGTACAATTAAATTCTACCCACAATACCTGTTATACCAAGTGTATAAATGTAGATAATTGTGCATATACTTGCAGATCGACTGTACGGAAATTTACGAAACAAGCAAAGGTCAAGCAGTTTCGAGACCGTGCACCTTCTAGATTACCTTTAAACAGGATTTTAGTAGCTTTGAGAAAGAGAGAAAGTAGACCATTTTTGAAGCATTATTTTGTACAAACTACTCCTAAATCATCCATTTTAAACAAGATAGCTAAAAATTACAAGCAATGTTGTTTTCAATATGTGCATATGCAACATATTTTTATCAATTCATTTGCATATTTTAAACCATCTGTTAACTTAGTTCAGAAAAGCATTAAAACAGAAAAACATCATTCTTGTAATATTTTAAACCATCAATGGATACATATTCCAGGTAATTACAATGTTGGTAATCAACAATATCACATATCTCCAAAGGAAACTAATGTTGTCAGGAGATATTGAATTGAATCCTGGTCCTGTTCAAAACAACATTCCAACCAGGCTGTCATCAAATGTAGTGTTAGAACAAAGGTTAAGATGCTTTCAGTTAAGACCATTTGATGTTGGTGGTGATGGTGACTGTTTCTTTCGAGCTGTATCACATCAGTTATATCGTAATCCTGAACAACACTTAGAAGTTAGAGCAGCTGGTATTGCATATATGAGAGATAATCCTGAGAGATTTATCGAAAGTAATACTGAAATCTCTTGGTTAGAATACCTAAATGATATGTCTATGCAAGGGACATGGGCTGGTGCTATGATTATACAAGCTGTTGCTGACCAGCTTAAGTTAAAAATTACTATTGCTGAAACATGTGAAGGGTTTAGTGAATACAATATTATACAACCAGTAGAACCTACACAGCAACTAACTAATATCTATTTGGGTCATATAGATGAGTACCATTATGTATCAACATTGCCATGTTCTTCAATATCAAGTTTATGTCATAATGAGTTAAATTCTACACGACAATTAAATACAAGCAGAAATGTTGAAAAAAAACATTAATCCAAGTATTAGCAACAGAATAGGAAATGAACCTGTGAGTCCTGAACAGTTGATACAAATCTCGCAGTCTAAACAAATGAAAACACAGTACATGAGACAATACATGAAACGAAAACGAGTTAATACAACACAGAGCCCTGAGTCGAAGGAAAAGAAAAGGCAATACATGAAGGAATACAGGAAACGAAAACGGGAAGTATACAGGAAGAAAAAAAGTCCTGAAGTTGAACCACTACTACAAAGTTTAATATCCAAATTTCATGATATTGTCTCACAAGGTCCTCTTTATATTTGCACATGTTGTGACCAATTATGGTACAAGCATAGTGTCATCCCTGCTGCATCACTAAAGGAAAGTAATCCTGATGCTCAAAAGAGATTATAAAATAGAAAAAGTCTCAACAATGTTGAGTGGTTGTGTCGAACATGTAATAAGTACTTAAAAAATAATAAGGTGCCTCCTTGTGCAGCCATAAATGGGATGCAATTCCCAGAAAAGCCTTCATTTTTTTATTTAAATGAATTAGAATGTAGATTGCTTGCTCCAAGACTTGCATTTCAAAAATTGATGCAGGCTCCAAGAGGTAGACAACTAAAAATTAATGGAAATATTGTAAATGTTCCAGCAGATGTTGCTAATACTGTTAACATGTTACCAAGGTTACCAAATGAAACAAGCACCATTAAAGTAAACCTAAAAAGAAAGTTGCAATACAAAAGTTCAGCTTTGTCACTTAATGTTAGACCTAATAAAGTAGCGGAGGCTGGCAGATGGCTTGTAAATAATGGTAACCTTTATAAAGATGAAGGTATAACTTTCAATGACACTTGGCTTGAAGACAATTCAAATAATTTGGTGTTTGATGATAATTGTGATGATCAAATATCAGAGGGTTCAGAAAATGTTGACTGTAATGCAGACAAGACCCAGCAAATATTAACGTGTGATGATGACAATAACTGGAGTGAAGATGAGGCAGAAATGCCTGCTGGAATCACTGACACTATGTTAACATCTCCAGATTTTCTCACTGATAATGAACGTCAGCATATTTTGAATCTTGCACCTGGTGAAGGCAATAGGCCTATGAGTATTTTTAGGGATAAGTATTCAGAGGAATTAGCCTATCCTGGTATATTTCTTGGACAGAAAAGACCAGACAATACAAAAAGACTAACCAAAGTCCATTATAGTGAAATTTGTAAATCTGAATTAAGAAGGTCTGACCGAAGGTCTGCAATGTGTGTGGAAAATCTTCTTTAAAACTAAGAAATTGCAAATGAAAATTTTGCTAGGGCAATCACAAGTTGCATTAAGAAAATGTCAACAGAATAGTCACACAATCACTGCTGGTCAACTAAAACAACCGGGTGCATTAGATAACATGATTCATCATGATCAAGGATTTAAATTTCTTAGAGCTGTAAGGGGTTCACCTCCATATTTTGAAAAAGCCAAAAAGGATATATTTGCAATGATAAGACAATTAGGACCTGCTTCATTATTCTGTAGTTTCTCTTCCGCAGAAACACAATGGGTTCATTTACTGAGAATACTTGGTAAGCTTCTTGATAACAAAGAATATACTGACAATCAACTTGAGAATCTCAATTGGGAAGAGAAATGCAGATTAATTCAGAATGATCCAGTGACATGTGCTAGGCACTTTGATTATCAGGTACAAAAATTTCTACAAAATTTTCTCTTAACTAACTCTGCACCTCTAGGAAAAATTGCAGACTGGTTTTACCGAGTTGAATATCAACAAAGAGGATCACCTCATATTCATATGTTAATATGGCTAGAAAGTGCTCCAACATTTGGTGAAGATTCTGATTGTGATGTTGTCTCATTTATTGATAAAATTATCACGTGTGAAAAGCCAACTGAGAATGCAGAGTTACTTGCACTTGTCAACAGGCAGGTTCATCGTCATTCCCACACTTGTAGAAAGAAATCCAAAAGTGTATGTCGTTTTAATTACCCACAACCACCTATGCGGTCAACTAACATTTTATATCCATTAGATGTTGATATGGATGATAATGAACAACATGAAGATACTTACAAGTTTATAAAGAAACATCTGAATGACATGAAAGAGGGTGAGGATATTACATTTGATCAATTGCTGATAAAACTTAAACTGACAGAACAAAATTATCTGTTAGCTATTCGATCCACCCTCAAGGCACCAACTATATTTTTAAAAAGGAAACCAAATGAATTAAGGATCAATAATTATAATGCTGCATGTCTCAGTGCATGGCGTGCAAATATGGACGTACAGTTTGTACTTGATGTGTATGCATGTGCAATTTACATCGTATTATATATATCTAAAGCCCAAAAAGGCATGAGTGAGCTATTGAGAACAGCTTGTGAAGAAGCAAGGCAGGGGAATGCTAGTATTAAGCAACAAGTGAGAGATATTGGAAATAAATTTTTGAACAATGTTGAAATAAGTGCACAAGAAGCAGCTTACATAGTGCTGCAACTTCCAATGAGGAAATCGTCTCGCCAAGTTGTATTTATCAACACTTCACCTCCTGAAGAGAGAGTTCAGTTGCTTAAACCAATGCAAGAAATTAATGATATGGAAGATGATTCTGATGAGATCTATGCATCTGGGCTAATAAAGCGTTACACAAAACTACCAGCCAAACTCGAAAATTTGTCGCTGGCTGATTGGGCAGCATGGTACGACGCTTGTGGTAAGCCATACATCAAACCATCTTGTCAACTAGATATTGATAACTATCCACTTGAGACAAATTTGGATAATAATGATGATTATGAGGAAAAAGAAAGTGAAAAAAAAAAATAAAAAAAGAGCTAAAGCCAGAATTATCCGAAGTGTCTGTTTTAACAAGGATGTTGATTCTGAGAAGCATTACCGTGAGCTAATTATGTTATTCACATCATGGAGAAACGAAACAACTGACTTAATTAAAGATTGTTCCTCCTACCAAGAGCACTATTTACGACTTAAAAACACAATTGATGAGCAAATGAAACAATATGCTATTTGTAGTGAAGACCTGGATGACATTCAAGATCAGCTTCATAATATGGATCATAATGATGATAATCATGACCTTGTTGCCCCAGGAACGCAAAACGTTGAACGTCAAGACGAATCTGAAGGTACGCAAGACCTTCATCCAGAATTGAATGCTAACTATGACCTATCTGGTGATCTTGGAATTCCTTCAACTGCATCAAATACTGAACAGCTTATATTACACGAAGAACAGGATGATGTTTACAGAAGTATGGTGCAAAAACTCAACAAAGAACAGAAGGAATTTTTCTATCATCTGTTGCATCTTATCAAAATATCTCAGAAACCATTCTACTGTTTCCTCAGTGGAGGAGCGGGAGTTGGCAAGTCCCATCTCACCAAGTGTCTTTATCAAGCAGCACTGAAGTTTTATAACACAAGAGCAGGTGATGATTTCCATCAAGTAAAAATATTAATGCTTGCTCCAACTGGCAAAGCAGCTTTCAACATTAAAGGTAACACAATTCATAATGCACTTGCAATACCAGCATGTCAATCCTTAAAGAACTACATACCACTTGACTCGAGCAGGCTAAACAGTTTAAGATGTCGGCTTGGTGGTTTAAAACTTATATTTTTAGATGAGATCTCAATGGTTGGTAGTACAATGTTTAATGTTCAAATAAATAATAGACTGAAAGATATTAAAGGAAGTAAAGATGACTTTGGCGGTGTAAGCATAGTGGCAATTGGTGATCTATTTCAACTAGAACCTGTAATGGATAGGTACATATTTAAAAATCTAGATAATTCGGAATATGCAATTCTTGCTCCCAATAAATGGCAAGATTACTTTAATATGTTTGAACTCCAAGAAATAATGAGGCAGAGAGAGAGCAAAGTATTTGCTGAAATACTAAACAGGCTGAGGGAAGGCAAACATACCAAGAATGACATTTTATAACTCAAAGAAAGATTAATCAAAGAAAATAGCATGCAGCAGCCAATGGATGTGCCTCATTTATTCATACAAAATCAGAAGGTAAATGAATTTAATAAAAGGGTTCATAATGCAGCAACTGACAAAAAGTTTTCCATTAAAGCAGTAGACAGTGTCATAGGAGCAAACTCTGCTCAGCTTCGAGATAAAATTTTGAGTCAAATACCAGATGACCCAAGGAAAACAAAGCAAATTGCTTCAAACCTTCAACTGTCAGTTGGAGAAAGAACTGAGATAGCATTAAATGTACGTACTGATGATGGCATGACTAATGGTGCCAGTAATGTTGTTAAGAAGATACAACTTAACCAGAGAGATAAACCATCAGGAGTAATATGGGTACAGTTTGACCATTCAGATGTTGGTGAGAAAACCAGACATGAAAATAGAAATCTTTATGTTCAAGGTATTGACTCAACATGGACTCCAATAAAACCAATCACTACTCAATTTGGTATTGGCAGGAATCAAACAGCACAAGTTGTAAGAAAACAGTTTCCACTAAGACCTGCTGCGGCTAAGACAATTCATCGTTCACAAGGAGACACAGAACAAAACATTGTTGTCAATTTTACTACAAGAAGAGCCATACCTCATATACATTATGTTGGTTTAAGCAGGGTAACAACCATTGAAGGTTTATTTATCACTGATCTTTGTGAAGAAAAGATAGCTGTCAATCCTCATGTTGCAGCTGAAATGGAAATGTTAAGGAAAGAACGTGCACTGAAACTTAGTGTCACTCCTATTTATCAGATAAATCAAGTCTCTTTTAAATTATGCTATCTGAACACTCGATCATTGCACAAACATATTGATGATGTTCGACATGAGCTAAATTTTACAAACACTGACATCAATATATTCTCAGAAACACGAATTATGACCTCAGATGATAATATTATGTATGAAATTGATGGTTATACTTTGTTCAGGAATGATGGTCACTGTTCAACATCCAGACCATTTGGTGGAATGGCAGTTTTTAGCAGAGTTGAATTTTTGCCTGGATATCCACGTTGTCGTAATATTAACGGCATTGAGATCACTATTATGAAAGTAATGATTTTTCCACATGTTACCATTATAGGTATATATCGATCACCCAGAATTCCAGTTCAGCAGCTGTTAGCAGCCTTAAGTGAGGTTTTGATGTTATCTACTTCTCAATTTAACATTTTCATGGGTGACTTTAATGTAAATTGGTTGGATGAAGTCAACAAAAGTCCTTTATATAATTTCTTTATTAACGAAAATAACTACAGACAATTGGTAGACAGTTTCACCACAGATAATAAGACGTTAATAGATCATATCTATACAAATCTACCAGAATCACAAGCTAAGTCACACATATTAGAAACTTATTTCTCTGATCATAAAGCAGTGTGTGCATTGATTAATTGCTTCCATTGAACTAAAGCTTAGTAGCTACATTTTACCAAATGTCTTGCCTCGGCTAGCAATAAAACTGAGTTGCACTATTAAGAGTTTAAAAACTTGGAGGGGGTGCTACTGCCTTCCCCGTTGTGCACATTATGTCTACCACTGAATGTCAATAGCAAGAACACCAGGTAAGTAATTTTGCGTCCCCCACCCCCTCCCTCTTGCTGTATTATTGCATGTTCTATTACACTACTAATTATTTCACTCTAAGTTCTAACATGAACATTTTGGATTTATAGATGAATCATGGATAAACTGCATAATGGCCGGATACCTTTGTCACAACTACAGCTGTACACCCTACTCCCAGAACAATCTTAGTTTAAACTCATTGGTACAGTACATGTATATTTTCAAAAGAAGATGTAAACATCACAGCACGCATGCTTTGTAATGAGATCCTTCCAATGGCACACAATGTACAAATCTGAACATATTATTCCATATATCGAAATAACTTTTGTTAATGATGAATGGCCTCCAATGTATGACCTACTGTATTGGCTACTACAATTACTTGGAATAAACACTTAATTTGTGTTCCATCAACCCTGGCAATCACATTCCTAAATTATAATACTACCATCATAATCTTGATGTAATCTATCAACAACATGGTTAAAAGGATATTTAAAACTGTCTGAGTGTGTATTGGTAACACCTCAATCCTCATTGAAATACCTGATTATAGCATGTTATTAACTATCAAGAAGATTATGAATCTAACACATTTCAGCAACAACATCAAGAAATTGGAGATTAATATCTTCGTTATGTTATGGAATTGGTTTCTGCAAGTGGAGTTTAAATCAGCCATTTCATGTTGTCATCCGGCATGTTGTAAATCCAACCTCATTTGACAATTAATAATAAAACCTTGTTCAACTGTGTATAAAATATGTTAATTTGAGGGATTAAAAAAAATTATTTTCATTTTTGCGTCCATTATGCTCGGCATTAATTTTCATTTTAAGTTTAAAATATATTGACCTAAACATCAATTTCTTATTCCTTTGAAGTTACAAGTTAAATAAATGCATTTTGTATGTCTGTATATGTAGAACTTAAAAATACTTTGAGACCAAACTAGACCTTGTAGAAATTAGGATATTATTTCTTCATTGCAAGTGGATCTGTGCCATGAGCAGATACATGCACGCTTTGCGTGCCTATTTTTAAATTTAAAGGCCACTTTACACACTACACAACTTTTGCTACACAACTAAACAGGCACACAATTCACCTTGGAACTCTGTACGTAGTAATATTACTGAGCATAATAATTGTAAAGACTTTAAAAGAAATTTTTGTAAATATTTGCTTGAGCATTTTCACTTAAATCTTAATTTATTTTACTATCAATTTTAGACTGTAAATATTTAATTGAATAATCCCGAGCCAACGGCACAGAGCGCCGTTCCAGGCATTAGCCCGGGGCGAGGGTACTAATTCCGGCTGGCTATTTACAACCAGGGAAAGGAACGCACTAGCAAAGTCTAAAGTTCATCAAATATTGTGGGCGCATGGTTATGATCCAAGGGTGGGCCTCCTCACTGATCTAAAAAATATGGCTGTTTGCCAGGAATGGGATAAGCACACTGAGGATATTAGGCCAAGTTAAAGAAATTAGTAGTTTCTCGTCCGAATTTTGAAAAAAAAGGAGGATGCGGGCGCTTTTATTTTTTATTTATTTTTTCCCAAAAATTTATACCAATTTAACGACATGCCATATTAAACCGAATATGAATATTTGTAATTCACAGCTCTATTAAAAATGCTACTTTTCTTTTGGAACGAAGGTACGCTTAATTCTGTTCTTGACAATGTTTCCCAGTTCTTTACATGCACCACATATTGGGTACGTTTTGGGAGTTGACGTCAGATCATGTTCGCTTCCACAGTAGTAACATAAAGGATCTGAAAACGTGACGTAGTATGGAGTTTCCATAGGTGAGGCACAAGTAAGCTTGTCATTCACGTAAACATGCTCAAAGATTCCACCCTGGTAGTCTTCGATATCTTGAAAGCAAGATCCACAAGAGTACGCGATGTTGTCCAGCTCGCTTTCCAGCTCACGTTTCTGATTCTTCTTTAGCACATGGCTTGCATAACACACTCTCCACTTCAAACAGTCATCACACTGGATAAAGAAAACAAATTTAAATAGATTATACAAGTTAATTGCACTGATATTTTAGAACACCGGTTCTCTACTCTAACGACAGCAAATAGGTTTAACATTAGTCCAAATTTACCTGAATAACAGTCTTCGTATTGTTGGACTTATGGGAGGATGGTGAAAAAGGCATCTGATGACGGGCAGCAGCTTTCAGCTGGTTAGACGGTACGTGCTTCTCTTCATTGCTATCATCATCTTTTCCATACAATTCCTAAAATACACAAGTACAACGTTTATAAAATACACATCTTTCAGTTTTTGTAGTAGATGCAGTGAGTGGTGCAATTTCATTTGAGCATACCTGAAATGATTTGTAATGATCTCTATGTGGAATCGGATAAGGTAAGTGGTGGAGCTTGTCAAACAAATCAGGTTGGGTTCTGGGAATTCTGCAAGCACAATTCTCTTCTTTGCACTTTTTTATGCTAAATTGACAGTGGCCTTTCCGAGTATGACTATCCATGAATTTTTTTAGCTTCTTTGAAATCTTGCAAGGCTTGGACGTATCTATTAGCACATCTAAATTGAAGCCTGGGTCTATCTTGTGAAGTTGTGAAGCCGTCTTTGTGATGCCCTCTTTAGTGGCAGCAGTAAACACTTGGAGTTTTTCCCCTTGAGTTGGCATCTCTGAAACTGAGAACTGAGAAGGATCTTGGGCTGTTCAAGCGAGTCAGATATTTCATGCTGAGCACTTGGATTTTTTTCTGCTACTTTCCTAATTTTTTTTCAAATTGTTAGCAGATTTCAGTGCGCCCTCCTGT